TGTTTCCGTTTTTTTTTTTTTTTAAAAAAAAAAACCCAACCAACCCGAAAAAAAAAAAAAAGGAAAAAAAAAAAAAAAAAAAAAAAAAAAACAAAGTCAGTGACATCAATCAGTCTTGGAAGGGTTAGAAAGCTTTTTTTTTCCAAGGCTTTGGGACTCTGGTAAACCACAGCTAACATTATGTCCGAAAAAAGACGACTTAATAAGCACCGCAGGTCTCACTTGCTTCAGCTACGGCCATGATTGATGACTCAACAATAAGAAAGAGACAGGAGCAAAATGGCATCCTTGGGAGAGTTTCAAGATAGAAAACACAAGGGGCCGCCTCACCTTTGCTCAAAAAACATCCAAAGGAATCTGGGGAACAAATATATTCTGTCGACTGCAAAGCAAAAAGTGGAACTTGTTGGTGGTGCTCATCAAAGCATTTCAGAAAAAAATATATTATACCTTCTGAAATTTGTAAATGTGACAAAAGAAAGAGCAAAAACAGAAGAAATATTCACAGCACTGTCCTTGTTTTGTTTTTTTTTGTGTATTTTCTATGGTGAGACTTCTTTTCTCACGCATTTAAACGATGACGAGAATTTGAAGTGCAGCTCTCCCACAACCCTGAAAAGCTGATTTTTTAATTCATAATATTAACTCTGGTAAGTTTTGCATAAAGTTACAACAAAGACTGAACTCTGAGGCAATCCTTTCTGACACAATTAGGGCTCCTCCATCTGCACTAAGAGCTGACCAAATAAGACGCGTCTTTCTTGTTCTGGGACTTTGAGCAGTAAGCCAATTACTTTTGAATGTAACCCTAAATTGGCCTTTTCTGAACAACTTTAAGTCTTAGACTTCATGACGACAGAGACACTCTGTTAATTCACATCAAAGTGGTTACTTTCCAATTACAGCCACAGCAATAAGCTCTGCGCCTTTCATCCCTCTCATTGTTTCCACCACGGCTAACAGCCCGAGCGCCGGCGACGGCGGGTTCAAGTCCGAGAGAGAGAGAGAGAGAGAGAAAGAGAGAGTAAAATATAATTATGACCTTTCCTCAGGCACACACCAGGTAAATGGCAGCTTAGCTGAGCGAGGAAAACACAGCTCTGTGATACACTGTTAGGCAGGGCAACGTTGGAAAAGCAACCGCTTTTCAATCACAGCGTGCGCTGGCGAATACGGACGGAAGGCGTGTGTGTGCGTGCGTGTGTGTGTGGGAATCAGTCTAAGTCAGAGAGCCATGGTTCATGGCCCTGGGAGGATGGATATGCCATTAGAGCTGGTGACACACACTCAAACCCTCATTGACTCACTATGGGAAATCAATATGGCTACAGAGCAAGGCAGCTGGATCCAGATAAAACAAGCCAGGCACACAGACACAACAGCAGCAACAACAATCATATCAGAGCCCGGAGAGGCACTCGATATCATGTAGTGTGTGCCGCCGGTGCTGCTGCAGGCCTGACCTGGACCTTCTGCCTCACGCCGCACGGTAAACGGTGCGTCTGATGCGCAACGCACACCTGCATGAGCGAAATGTCAAGAGGTTTGCACCAGCGAGAAATGATCTGAATGAATCACTTTAACCTGCACACATGTACGACGTAGCAAGTCCTTACAGTAACAGTGTGAATATCATGCACATTCATCGTCTGCAATATTAATCTGGACCTTCAAAAGTGTTTGTCTCCAGAAGACATTTGGCTGAGCTTGAGGATGTGCTGGCGCGCTTCAGGTTATGATGCTCGAACATCCAGGAGTGACAATCTGGTTCAGATGGTTGGGTTTTACCAGCATATCTAATGCGTGGGATATTCCCACCAGGGAAAACTGTTTGTTTAAATGAGCGCTACCATTTTTGAGAAGAGCAGTCAAATATCAAGTCGTTTTTATGCCAAAAGCTTGTTGGTAAAAAAAAAAAAAAAAAAAAAAAAAAAAAAGAAGGTGACGTGTTGTTTCTCTGCAACCTCCGAAGGGATATGCAGATATAAATGAGGGAATGTGTAAATACTTGAATTTACACATTCCCATAAACTCCATTCATAAACTCCTTCTAATGTGTAAATTAGGGAAAATCTAACAAATTCAAACTTCCACATCAAATTTCTGCTTTTGACATCCATTGTTGTTGCTTTATTATACGACCGTTTTTACAATGTCTCCATTTCCTGTTTGAAAGCAATTAGTGCAAACGTATTGTTAAAGGCCTAAAGTGAGTCAAAAAAATCTCACCTCCCAGGATGAGTGTGTGCAAACTCTTCACCAACATTAAAAATTGACGCGCAAAGTCAAACACTGACCGACTGTGCAGTTTTGATGGCCACAAATCGGTGATTTCCCTCCTTCCCGCAGACATAACCGAAGGCTCTGTGGTCCGTGATGTCCTTGGCGATGTAGGAGATTTCATGGACTGCATGGTGGTGTTGGAGGATCTGTGAAAGAAAACAATGAAGTATGACTTTTTGCTGTGCAGACAAAAAGTCAAATAGTTCTGTGTCTTCGTGCTCCACAAAAGCATGATGTCAGCAGAATACATAAAGTTGTAACAAATTTCACTGCAATTGCAGCTACGAGTCTCTTGGGGTATATCTTCACCCGGTTTGGACATCTAGAAATGACAATCTTTGTCCGTTCTTTGAAAGAAAAAAAATCTATAGCTTGAGCTCCTTCTTATCAAACAAGGAGAATCTGTGAACATTACTTCTCAAAGTCTTTCTACACATTTTTATTTGGATTTAGATTTAGACTTTGACTGAGCCGTTCCAGCACATGAATACGCTTTAAACTGAATTATTTGTTTGGCAAGTTGCCCTTTTGGAAATGTGAACCTTCTAGGTTTTCTTTCAGTATTACTGGAAATTTATATACACACACACATTCCCCTCAACTCTGACTTATTATGGCTATATGCAGCAAATGATCAAACCAGGTCTGTAGAAAAAAATCATAACAGAAAATAACAGATTTATATATATATATATATATATATATATATATATATATATATATATATATATATATATATATATATATATATATATATATGCCCTAAATGTTGCTTTAAAAATGCCAACTTTGCGTGATTTTGTATACAACACTTTAATGCAAAGTTAGAACTTCTAATAGGCTTTTAATGCAACTTTTAGAGCAACTTTGCATTAAAATTGTCATTATTTGCTGAATGAGACTTCATTACATCAGTCATAGACATTCATAAACTGCTTCATGTTCATGATAGGTGTTGCGTCATGTTTATGACAGTGTCAAGTCAGTCTTATGTACACCCCGTCAAATAAAGTGTTACCGGAAATGCTCACCGTGTACAAATACTTTTACAAGGAACTCCATGTTCACACCTGAGAAACTGCTAAAAAACACACAAACCTTAGCAAGCCCCCCTGAGAGTACACTCTGAACACCGACACTCGGTTAGAGACCTTGTATCCTTCACTGAATTATTTGCAGCTCTTCTGCCCTCTGCGGTTTAGTTTGGGTTGGATCTGCCAAGCTGGCATCGCCTGTGGCAGATGGCACTGTTTGTCCTGAGGACAAGGGGGGGGGGAATCAGTGACAATCACAGCTCGGCAAGCTGTCGGACTTGATCACTTCATCTGCGCCCTTGCACCCAACACACACACTCACACACATGCGTGCACAGAATTCACAGCTTAATATGCAAAGGCCCTCTGTTAAGTCACACTAAATGTCTGCTTTGTTATTGTTGTCTGCGCCAGCTGCCCGCTGCGAGGAGAGGCGCGCAGTCAACATAATGATCCTGCGGCCCTTCAGTTCATCAGAGGGGCCGGGGCTCTGTACAATCACACAACAAACACACGCATCTGCTCCCTCTGCAGTCAACCCAGAGGTGAGACGTGGCGGCGAGGAGTGACAGCAGTTTAACACGGGGGGCCGCAAACAATCACACACACACTGTAAACCCCAGCAGAGGCAGATAATCGCTGCGTGAGTCATGTCTTCTAAATTTAATAATTGGAGTAATGATTATTATTATCACCTTTGATTGACCTGAAAATGACAGCTAAGGCAGTGTGTGAAGATGCACGCAAACACACACACGCACACACACACACACACGCACACACAGCTCATTTACGGAGGTTATTGAATTATCTCTGGGTGGGCGGCGAGGTGACAAAGAGACTCTGATTCAAAGAGAGCGCACAATGAAATGACTGGATAAATTCAAACGCTCCTCTTCATCTTGGCAGCAAGTAAAGCTTAAACAGCAGAAGCGCTTCGTATGCGCAGTCAGCAGGTCGCTGGGACTTTGACGTCTTTTGAGCTGGTTTCTCAGCACGAAGGTCGCGTTATTAAAACACCAGCCCTGCGACATTCTCGGGGAGGATGGAAGTTGTTGGTTTTATGAAGCAAATCTGTTCCATTGTCATTAAACAGATGTTGAGTTTGACCTTACATCTCAAAAAAAGAGGAATACAGTCTAGGGTGGAGACCAGTGCAAGATGCATAACACACTAATTAAGAAAAACTAACCCAAATGGCACATTTAGCACATTGAACTCCACTGTTACTGTTCCCAAAGATAATTTCAACAAAGATATTTTCATTGCTGAAAAAAAAACCCAAAACCTCTCAAATAATTATTACGAGCACCTTGAAAAGTTTCTGGCTGTTTCGTATTAAACACGGGGTCAGAAAGGCATCAGCAACCAGCCTCAAATGTTTTGACGTGAAGATACTGACTTGATTACCATCATACTACACTCTCAGCATCCCTGTACATAAACTGTTGCAAAAAATACGAAAGCTTGCAAAGCCGGCGCTTATGGCTGTCCAAACAGAAGCTGAAAATGAAAGAAATTTGTGTGGACCGATTTAGATCGTGCATGCGTAGGTTTCTGACAATTTTTGTGCTTCAATCATAATAACCTGGAGAAAGAAAAAAAAACAGCAGGAAAAGGATAGAAATAAAAATAAACCAGACAATTTCATGGAGCTCCTCTGCCGCCCCCAAAAATATTCTTATTTTTATAAATTGGTGAGAACTGGTTGCATCCTGCCACATTTTATTCACCAACAGGTTCTGCTGCTGACATGCTTTGCACTGGGTGGCTGCTTGCTTCCAGAATGCTGAAGCGGTAAGTCATGTACGCATCCTGTATGTGCTTTTCATTACAAATGTCCTGCTGCTTCATTCTCAGGAAAACGGCCAACTACGCCACCATGAGGCCCTCTAGACCTCAGACGCTAAGCATGGCTGCTTTAAAGGAGCAGTGTTATGGAAAATCTACTTTTTGAGCTTTGCATCATGTTACAATGTCATTCCATCATCAAAGGCATACCTGCAGTGTTGCCTTGATTCTTTCATGCGCGTTTAAGGAACAATTGAATCTCCTACTCAGCTCCTACAGACTAGCGCTAGCAGCAATTAGCAGAGATCTGGTGGAACTGCGCATCTGCTGAGCTCGTCATAGGAACCGCTTCTCAGTGAAAAACGATTTTAAAAGCTTAACAGAGGAACGTTATGATGATGCAGTGAAGGGGGCGCTAAATTTCAAATCAAATTTCTTTTAAATCATGTTTGATATAACATAGTTACTTGATGATGCTATAAAATGACTTTCCAGGGTAGTTGGTTGCTTGCAAAGACATATACGTAAAAATTCAATAACGACTTTATGCTCTCTCTCTCTCTCTGTCTGTCTGTCCAGATACGCTGATATGGACAACAGCCCCACACGGCATCGGTGTCTCTCGGGGGGATTGTGGGCAGCGTGTCCTTGAACAGCTGCTGGTCACTGACCCAAGATTTTCTGCTCCGATGCCAGGAGTGAGGAGGGAGGAAAGGAAGCAGCGGGACACTGTCGGTCTAACCTCCCCTAACCTTCACATCCCTCTCCTGGAAAGTGACCCACTGAGGCTGCCCAGTCTCCAGCCAGCAGGCCCGGACCGTCAGAGCACTTAGCTTTGAGGTGTAATTAGTCGCTTAGTCACTCTGCTAAAATGAAGGCGAAAGAATAAAATGCACAAGACGCCGTGCAGTCAGATAACAGAAGCTGAACATTTCAGATTGTCTTGACATGCTGGGAGCGACGAACTGATCACATGACAGGAAGCCCAGGTAAGGTTGTATTAATTTAAAGGTTTTCTAACGATGCATTTCAGCCTTTCTTTTCAAGTGGGAGTTTGTGAAAAAGAAAAATAGGAAGCACAAGCTCAAAATTATACATACAGACTCAAATGTAAACACACAGCTCATTAATATGTCATCAAATGCCCCTTACTAAGTTGTACACTGTACCAGCTGTCAAGCACGGTTTCAGTCTCAGTAGTAATGTTGCATCAGTACTGCTGGGTGCACCAGCGGTGAAATAATGGAGATGTAGCACCGACTGCAGATTCTCTAACTTCACCTTAAATCAGGAGCTGGACGGGTGAAACGGAGATGTTCCAAACATGCACTGAAACTGGCTTTGGGATGGATAAAGCGGGTTAACGTTAGGGAACTACGCAGAATCTGTGTGAACTGCGCCTGACAACCAGAACCAACTTTTTATGAAAAGAAGAGACGTCACTTATCCAGATAAATTATGCCAGCAGCTTGTTGATCGCGAGACATTCTTCACGACTTCCCAAGGGATATTTAACCAAACATTAGTGGATGTGTGTGCATGCTTTTGAGATCGTAAGAATGAGTTTGACCTTGTGTTGAAAAGAGAGAATCCACAATAAATTCAAACTTAGGCACCCAATCTTTTTATTTTTCTGGGGGTTTTTTTTGAATAAGCAGGACCGCCAACTTTAACTTAGTGCACGTATGATTAGACTATAAAGATTAGATTAATCGGGTTACCCAAGTCTCTCCCCTGCGTAAGGTAACCTGATTCTGAGCAGCGTGACAACTGACAGCGAAAGGCAAACGTTTTCCTTGACTCAGTGTGAAGCCAACACACGGAGCAAAATGACGGAAGTTTAAAAGCTGCAAAAAGCTTTTTAAAGATGAAACAGTTTTTCTACAGCATGTCTGTGTTAATTTTTGCCAAGAAAGAGGTGAAGGCTTTTAGAAGTTGCTCTTTTTAATGCTTTGACCCATTTAGCCTTCAAATGCTGGATTTGGAACCGTAAAGGTAATGACTGACATTCTCTAAGGAACAACAACGGAGAACATTGATTTAGTCGTTCCAGCTGCTCTAAAATACATAACATGAGCTTAAAATATCAACTCAGCAATGACTTTGGCTTTATTAGAAATGGTCCGACTACTGTCACATATCCATCTGTCCATCATTTATACCCGCTCGTCCTTGCAGGGTGGAAGGGGAGGGGCTGGGTCTTATAGCCAGAGGGTCATTGAAGGAGAGGTGGGGTCCACCCTGGACAGGTCGCCAGTCCGTCACACAGCACCAGATAAAAATAATTAACGACCGCTCATCGCCGAAAGGCAAGAAGGAATTACTTGAAGAGTCATCCTGGTCTTTTTAAAGAGCTATCGGAACGGGCTAAATCAGAATCTGCACATCAAAGTTTTTTTTTTTTTCTCTTAAGATCAGAAATCAACCTCACAAGTGATGGGTTACTTCATCTGCATTTTTGTTTTTAAATGATGTGACTGAATGAACCAGACGTATCTAATCTTTGTGACTCACGAGATTCAGCCCTCGACTCCTGACATGAAGGTGTGTCCTTCCTGTGCTTGGCGCCAGAGGCTGGTGAGGCCAGCGGCTGCACGTGTGTGTGTGTGTGTGTGTGTGTGTGTGTGTGTGTGTGTGTGTGAGAGCGTGTTTATCGAGATAGAGGCCGACCCGAAAGAGAGATGTGCCGACCTGCTCTCTCTGAGATTAATGTCTCCACCTCTTTTTCTTCTACATCTCGAACAACACTCCCCTCCATCCTGCGCGTGACCTTCCCTCCTTCGATGGTGGAGGGGGGGAGGAGAGGGGGAGGGGGGCGGGGGACTCATCTATTCCTTCACCTGCACATCCATCCATCCTCCCATCCGGGTGACGGATGCATGCTGAGGGCGTGGCGGGGGGGGGGGTTGAGATCGTCGAGATCCATGAACCTAGGCAGAGTCATTCTCTCCGTCTTCCTCTCTTTCCTTGGCATAAGGAGCGGTTGAAGGACTGATAGTGACGACTGCATATCTTTAAAGTTAATATTAATGCGAGGAGACAGAGGACAAGGTCTCCCTGAAGAGAGCTTCACTCTGACATATGCTCCCTGATTCCCTACCTATCTCTCTAACTCTGTTTCAGTCCATCTCTGTCCCTCCATCGCACCCCCTCCCTCCTCTATCAATCTTTTCCACATCCTCGTTTCCTCTTATCGTTTCACCCAACCCTGCTTCTTTTGCTCTCTCCCCCACTTTGCTCCTTCGGCTTTTTACCCAGTTTTTTTTTTTTTTTTTTTTTTAGTATCTATTGTTTTATTTTCTTTATCACTCTGTGTCATCATAGAAATGTTGACGCGTCAAGGAGGGGTGAGGGACGCGACTTTATGAGGGCTGTAAAACGAGGTTTGAAGGTGAACGACGGGCAAACACACACGCACGCACGCGCACACACATGTGCAACGCGGACGACGTCCGACTCACGCTGGGGGTGTAAATCTGGCAGCTAAACGCCAGGTGTTGAGCTGCGGCTCAGACCGACCAGACAGCACGCCACGCACATTTATACGACACAGATGTTGAATTATGCTATAGAAATAAGGATGTTTTCCTCCAGCTGCCACAAAAAAAAAAAAAAAAAAAACAAGCAAACACTGAAAATCTTAACAGGCTTCCAGAGTAAGCTGTGCCAAACACCTTAAAATTAATTTCTCTCCCATGTATCTCAATCACCAGCACTAAAAGAAGGAAAACTGGCTTGTTTAGTGACATGAGACACACACACTTGGGGATCGGGGTGGAGGGGCGCGTTATATTTCTTGCTCAAGGATACATTACCAGGTATAGCCGGGTTGGGTATTGAGCCTCAATAAAAGCTGTCAGTGGATCCTTGGGTAGGAAAATTTAAAAAGAAATCACCCGGCACTTCTGGCCACTTTCCTCGGAGCTGCAAGCACACTCAATCTGCAACAGCATTTAATAACTGACTTGTGAGCTCTCTCCACGGACTGCCCTCTATTTATGACTGCCACTGTTGGTGTAAATCTCCAAGTTGTCAAGATGTCTGACAGAAGCCAAGAAAATCTCCTTTTTATTGTGCTTTTGCTGGGATTTAAGGTATTTTTGTAGCTCCCATTAGGCAGAGGGAGAAAGGTGACTGATGGCAAACTGTGAGGTAAATAAGATAACTTTGTAAATGGAGGGGAATGGCAGGGGGGAAGGGGGTACAAATGGTTTTAAAAAGTTGCATCCATTCATTCCTCCATTGTCCCCTCATTTACCCGAGTTTTGCGGGTGTAACAGACTCAAGAGGGATTCAAGAAGCGACATGCCAGCAGGTTACCAGTGGCACAAGCACTGGAAAGCCTTTAAAGGGGTCCAGGAAGCCATCTTGGCAGAGATCAATTCCCCTTTAACTGACTTGTTTCAAGTCAGGAGAGCAATCCCCGTCAAGTCCCGCCCAGATGAGGGAGCGCCTCACCCTATCTCTACGGTTTGAGTCCAGCCAAATATGGAGAATGAGTGTTCCAGCGACTTGTACATTCGTTGCAACATTCTTTTGTCTTAGCAGAGCAGAACCAACGATACTGCAGAATACAACCCAATCCGACGACCCATCTCTCGCTCCATCCTACAAGATACCTGCAGTCCTCAGCTTGAGGCAGAGACTGACCCCTGACCTGAAGTGGGGTTGCAGAAAAGTAAAACCACAACAGTTTTTCGTGAAGCACAGAGTAATTCTCACTGCCAGTCCGTTGATTGAAATTCAGCTCCTATGACAGGAAGGTTCCCTTATTAACATGACAGATAAAATGTGGATGTTTGGGAATAGATGCCCAAATTGTTTTCTGTAACTATGAAGAAGTGTTCCTCAATTCGTCTCGCCCAACAATGTTTCACACTAAAGTTCACGAGCAGCATGTCTGTTAGCCAGCAAACAGACCAACTAAAAAACCAGCTAACAGCTCATTTAACTTTAAGTTTTACTTTAAAAAGAGCAGGGTGGCAAAAACACATATCATCCTCCCCCTCTGTTCTAACACCATTCAGCAAAATCCATACCAAAAACCGGCACTGGGCTCCGTGCCTCGTTGTTGGAAGCGCCGAAATTAAACATACGATGAAGTCAGGACAGATCCCATTGGTCAGCCAGGAAAACAGCCAAGTAAGATGGAAAACGCATAATCCTGGAGCACAATATGAAACCAGTGTTGTCGCTGTTTGCAAAAAGGCATACAATGGGATAGCCATGTTCTCTCATCTACTACAGCCTTGTTCTCAGGGTTTCAATTAGGGCCTCCTGATTTCCCCGGGGGACACTCCCTTTCATGGAGAGGCCTCATTAACAGAAGAAACACAAATACATGCACACACAGCAGGGCTGCGCGCGGCGGTGCTCACACATATAAACAGACCCGCGTCTCCTTCAGAGCTTACCCCCGTCTTCTCATCAAAGATCTTGATCCCTCCAAAGGAAACGGTTAGAAACACCTTCTGCTTGTGTTCTCCTTTAGACCGCGCTGCAGCAGCTACACCCTGCGGACGAGACACAGACACACACACACACACACACACGATGCAAAACAATCGCATTAGGAGCAGAAATGAAATACATGAAGAGTGGAAAGGGAATGCACGTAAGTAGAGTCTCTGAGTAAAAGATTGTTCTCTTGGTGGATTACTCCTCAGTATTGGTAACAAGCCACACATGGTGGCATCAGTTTAGGATGAGACAATTTACAGCCACAAACAGACATTTCACCAACATGTTTAGCAGAAGATTATGCAACACTAAGTAGGCTAAATGTCTGGAAATTATGGCAGACATGTCGCTTCTGCACATGCTAGAATTACTCCACCAAGCAAGTAACGTAAAGCTGCCGTCACACCGTTTCTTATCTTGCCGTACCTAGAGTGCATTTTACAAAGGTCTAAATGTGAAGAAATGAAGCACATTTTTCAAAACATCAAGTCCTGTCACATCTGTTTGGTATGCGTTTGCATAAATTAGAATGTTATAGAATATTTTTTTATTTAACCATTATTTTATCAGAAAGTCCCTTGAGATAAAGTCTCTTTTTGAGGGAGACTTGGCCAAGAAGCACAACAGAACAAAGCGTAGTTTTCTACTGTGTCTGGACCAAGTAGGTTACTTTTGCCATGATGTCATAATGTCATATTCCAAACGCCTCTTTTCTTAATGATCATCTAGGGAAGAAAGATTACATAAGTCTATATACAGTCTACAACTGCCCCCAAGTGGTGAAATAATAATTAACAAAATGAATCAGAAAGTAATAGCTGCCCTGCCCTGATGGAGGATGCATTTCAAACATTTGGCATGGAGAGGTGAGTGATTCAGAGTGTAGACTCATCTGACCTTGGATAACGTTTTAGGTCAGTACTGCAACTTTTGAGCAGCGCAATTTTTTTGAAACATCCCAAAAGGTCTGCTATGCACACTCACTCTCAAATGTTTTTAACATAGTTTTAAGCAAAACTTAAAATGCTTTCTTGCGTGTTTGATTTATTCAGCAAAGAAAAACAAATATTCCTCATTTATATTTGCCACCCACACCCTGACTGCAAAGTCTAATTTTAAGTTATGCACACATGTTGAAATACTGAAGAAAATATACGCACATTTCTATAACCTGCGAAGGACGTCTTGCGTTGTTTTGTTTAGGTCCACAGACATATTCCTAAGCTTAAATGTGAACAATAACTTAGCACAAATTGAAATGTGTCAACATTAGCGGTGTGACGGTGCAGGTCTTTCAGTTCAGCACTCAGCCGTCCTAAATCAATACAGCCATATTAAATATACACGTATGCACAATGTTTGTGCCTGAACTCTTTGTTCCACTAAGCAGTTTTAAAAGTGGCACCAAAACAAAGTAGAGAAGTCTTCCACTAAAGTCTGCCACATTTTCACAACGCACCTTAAAATGCACTCGAACTTTATGATTTTATTTAATATTCGAATAATTCTCTCCTGACATAGAAACTTGATTTTTCCAGTGAGATTTATCCTGTTTAAATAAAAGTCCAAGTAAATAAATAAAAATTGAGAAAGAAAGGCAGACCAAACCAAAGTTAGCCTTTGATTCATAACTCTTAATTACTCACTTAAAATAATGTTAAGCCAAAAGTAAAACACTGGTGCACAGAGAAATAGGCTGAAGTCCAAATCCAGCTGCCTGCAGTTTTCAACCAGCACTGAACACCACGGAGGTTTCTGCAGAGGGATTTTCTCCAACAACTGCGCTTCTATGGTGCATTCAATTGCTGCTCCTACAACGGATCATCTCCAGATAAACACTTCCAAAGTAACTTGCACAGCATTTTACATACATATGACATCAAAGTATGGTTTATCTTAGGCGATAAGTTGATTTTATCGATGAATCAAATGTTTTTTTTTCCCTTCAGTTAAATTTTGCAATGCACTCCCCTGGGTTGTTATATTTCAGTATGATGTCAATGATATCAAAAGGAAACTATGTTGTTCGTCGAGCATCTTATGACGTCCTTTAGGTAAAGTCACATCTTTATTCTGCTGATTATTTGTTTGTTTGGTGCCAACATTTCCCGTTTCAAGGTCAACTCTGGACGCAGCGATTTTTCTGCAGACCTACTATTTTTGTACGTTGAAGGTCTGATTTCCTGAGAGGCTTGGTCCAGAACAGTTTGTGACATCTGACTACACAGATTAATGAGTGGTTTGCGCCCTATGAACCTCTGGACTGGATATGATTCATTGGTGTCTATGTAGATGTCAGAAATTAAGTCAAGACAACTATTCTGGTCAAAAATAATACCTACTGATCAAACATACGGTTGATATGTACTGTATGTTAGAAATGCTACAGTCTGTCATTTTAGTTTAACAAGGTTTTGAAGAGTTCAATTGGATTTTAATTATCAAAGCAGCTCAATAGATTTTTTTTTAAAGTACTGGAAGTCTTATTATGCACATGATACACATCTTTTAGAGCAGTCAAATAATATGAAGATGGAAAACGTTCCATCACGACGCAACTTCTGAAAAACGGAAAGAAAGTCCAGTATCAGAACGGATTTTACTTTCATGTTGATCTGCAATGTTTAATCGCAAAAAGAGGAGAAGAAAAGGGTGGAACGAGAACAGAGAACCGGAGGAGCTGAACGAGGCTCAGGAGGAGCCACGTGAAATAAGAGGCGCAGAGACGAGAGTAAAAGAGTTGATGGATTTCCTGTCGGAATAAATGAGAAGGAGGGATCCCCGTTTGATCAATGAGCTGTCTGTCCGCTTCTCACCCTTATAGGTGTCCACTCCACGCAAAACAAAACACAAATGTAATTTTCTCTACTTAATTTCCACTGGCAGCATGACTTAAGGATAATTAATAATGAATGAGCCGCTCCTCGCCTTATATCTTTGACAAAAAAGAAAAAACAAACAAACAAGGATTTGTTTAAATATGCGGCTATTTTTAACACGAGTTTCTTCATGCTGCAAAATTCAATCAATTTTTATTTTTCATAAACGGCGCTCTTTTTTCCCCATGAATTATAATAAAGTAGCCAATCTGCTGTCATCTTCATCTTCACTCACCTGCCTCCTACCCATCATCTAAATGATCCCTCTTCCTGTACGACTTCTCTTCTTTGTTAACTGCCCCATCTGTCTGACTCCCCCTCTAATTGTTCCTGTCCTGCCAAATGAGACATTCACCCCAATCCCCTTCTCATCCATATGGCTAACCTCCTCACTTCCTCCTGCACCCATCATCATCATGCCTATAAATTAAAGCGTGCACACTTTTTTTTTTCCCTCCTATCTTTGTACTTGAACTTTTCTCCCCTGGAAATTTGCATATGGGGAAAAAAAAAAAAAAGCAGGCAAACTCTGCATGCATGACTATATACGAAGGCGCGCTTATGCTGTGATCTATTAAACATGCATATTTAAATGTTCAACACTAGAATATGCATGAAAATGAACTCTTTATGGACCAAAAAAAAAAAAAAAAAAAAAAAATTAAAACCCCCGGTGTTTTTTTGAGGTTTTGAGAGCGCGGGAACTCCGTTTGGCCTGAGGCGATCCATGCTGCGTCGTTTCTCCAGATTCTTCTTTTTTTTCTTGTCATTTTTAAATTATCATGCAAATTTAAAGTTTCCAGACTGTGTCCACGCAAATCTCTTGTTTGTTTGCAACAGCAGAGAAATAAAAGGAAAGGGGAGCGTGTTGTTACCTTGAGCTTCATCATTGAGTCCTGGCAGAGCTTGTCTCCGCGGGCGGCGGTGACCTCGTCCAGGCCGATGAGTTTGGCCTTGTAGCGGACGCCATCGCCCTTAAAACGCCTGATGAGAGCTGCCTCGCTGCGATCCTGCCCTGCAGACACAAACCACACACACACGCACATGCACGCACACGCGCACACACACACTGCAGTCAACAGTGCAGCTTCCAGTCAAGGACCTCAATCTACCTCGGACCAGCACTATTACCTCAGGGACATCAATCAAGTGGCCAACAAAAAGGCTTGAAACTGTAATTCTTTATGGGAGAAAAAAACAAAAACAAAACACAAAAGTAAAAGTCAAAGCTAAAGATTTAACAACATCTTGTTTCGGGACTAACTCAGAAGTGATCGTGTTGAAATTGGTCAAGACACTAAGCGGATGTGCCCGTATTGTTCAGGAGGAACAACGTCGAAACTCAAAATAATGGTGTGACATTTTGCTCTTATCTCCCCGGTCTGCTGCAGTTCTTCCTCTCTCCTCTTCTTCTATTGTGCTCCCGATTGCCGACACGGTGCGAATGCATTAGTGCGTGTCAGCCGTGGCGTGAATGTGTTGACCTTGCTCTTGTCCAGGAAGTCTCTGTGTTATCTCCTGTGTTCCTTCTCGCACACACAATATAAGGCGCGGGCAGAGCGGCTACTCGTGAGGCTAAACTCTCGCTCCCTTTGTGTCACGCTGTCACCATTCTTCTCCGGACCATTTGTTTTTTTTCTGCCTCCGAGATGCCGTGGGTGAGCAGTTCATCAATGCTTTTCCCGTCCGGAGGAGCACCAGCTCGTCTCTCCTGGTCGACTCCTCGTCGTGTGTCGTGTGAATGCAGCACGGGGGGGAAAAGGAGTGTGAGGGCGAGAGCGAGAGGCGTAATGATAATGCAGCAAATTCAGATAATATATAGAGGCATTAGTTCTGTACTCTGTATCAGCGTGACTCTTTGGAAGGTCAGACTCGGAGTGATGGAGAGATCCCACTCCTCCTTTTCTCACTCTTTCACACTCCCTCCATTCACACAAAGTCCCCGAAGCACCGCAGTGTAAGACGAATGAGGCTTTAGATCCAGGAGGGGGGAATGCCGCGTTTCACAGCGCTACTTAATCATAGTTGCCCACCGCTAATTACTTTATGTCTGCGTTACTTGCTTACTTATCCAACTTTAAATCTGCATCAGCGTCACACGATGTGAATCGTATTTACAGCAATTTGTGTGTGTGAACAATGGGTGGGCATTTATCTCACCGTTTATCATCTATCGTGATAAATTTCATATTAGGATAAGAATTCTGACTCATCGTTATCGCGATAAATTCCAAATAACGATGTCAAACACCCAAAGCTCTCCACATTGGATTACTTGTTTCACTACTTTCTCCACCATTTACTCAATAAAAGCATCAATAAATATCAAGAAGTTTAAAAAATATGCAGGTTAGTGATACAAATCACACTTCTTAAAGAAGAGTTTTGTGTTTGTGGGAATGTGACTGCTGTGTCATGCAGTCAAAGCCATAAAAGTATTTTTTTAATCGTTTTTTAAGTCCGTATCGCCCAAATCCACTGTGTTCAGTACTCAGAAATCCAGTCTTTACACCGCTACCAAGAAGAAGAACCAACAGTTCGCGCTACCAAAAACACTCTTCAGTGTGGAAGTTGTTCCTTAACAAAAATGAATAAGAAATAGCTACTTTTGTTTTTTGGTGAACTGTCTAAATAGAAGTGATTTAAGTCAGAATCTGTTTTAAAGGAAACTGTATTTTCTACTGAATAACGTCGGCTTTTAATTGGGAATGCTTCGCTGGCCTAAATCCAACTTTAGAAGTTACAATGAAGGCTGAATTCACTACAGCAAATTTGTTTGTGTTTTATCCATGTGAGCTTTTGACCTAATGTTCTTAATTGAACATGTTGGCGCATTTTGAAATGTTTGCATTGTTTAGGAAATCTGAAAAGCAAGGATTAACGCTCTGCAAATGCTTCTGTTTTAGTCATGCTAACTGTGCTAATTGTGCTAATCACTAAAATGAAATCAACTTTTACTGTGACATTTTTCGAGTTATGTGGTTTCGGGAACTGTCGGTTTGATGGGACAACCCTCGACCCCTTTGCCCCACTGCCCGACTGCACCAAGACCTCGGGAGGGTTAAAGAGAAATCTGAATCACCCAAGGTCAATCCTCTCTAAAAGATTAGAGATCAGAAATTAAACACAAAATTCTGATCGGTGCATCTCCATTTAAAGTTTTGGTCTCATATAAGGGAAAACTTGTAAAGGAAACAGTTTTCCCCATTGATAAAAAAAAAAAAAAAAAGAAAATCCTGCACACAGACACTGTGTATGAACTCGCAGTGCTGACTCACTAAAGAGACGGACTCAGCCACAGCCATACTTTCAGTAATTCATCACTGCCTCAAAACCCTAAGAGACAAGGCAGCTAAAGAATTTCTGCCCTTGTTTTGTAGAGAACGTGTCGCCTCAGTGGGGATTCGGATGAATGGAGGCGTTTTAATCACCAGGCTGTTCTGCTTCCATTTCATTTAGAAATGTCCCACAAACTGACAAGTTTAGGAAATGTACTCATCAACAACCCTGTTGAATGTTAACGCAGAGTTGCTTCGACAACTCCTCCAAACTCGTCCTTTCTTCTCGTGGAATGAACAACATGAAATGTGTTTCCTGCTACAAAGTCTTGAGATGCCAATTCATAATTCCTTCACATTAAAACATGAGACACTTCTGAGAAGCTGGGTGCTCTTAATCCATGTGCTTGGAAACCGACTTGGGAAGTTTTACCAAACATATGTGGAAATGTAATGCTTCATGTTGAACATTAAGGTTTCATTACCCCAAAAACAGCAAATAGGACACTTTAAAAAAAACAGATTTTGCTTATATTTAGTTACCACAACTGTGTTTTGTTGAGGTTAGAGTGAGTTTTAGCTTGTGTTGCCACTAAAACGCTGTGCAAAACTTTCATAAAAACATGAAATGCTTCTGTCAAGGCAACATTATCAGCATGAATAATTAGCGTCACAGCGTCTCTCTATGTCATGGTTACAATATGTTCACAAAATTGAAACGTCTCATGTAAAACACAGACCTGCTTCTGAAATTACTCTATTGAGGAAATAATGTCTTTCTGTGGATTGCTAAACCTCAAATTAAGTATTTTGCATATATTGAGGAAGAAAATCTACTTAAATTATAGAGCTTTGTAGATCTAAATTGTACAAAACTGCATTGTATTACTAGAAATTTGTGGAAAAAGTACCATCTGCTGAAAACTGATGGAGGAAATGGAAAAAGGTGATTGGCTAGACTTCTGATTTGCACATAATGTTGTGAAAAATGATGGTTAGAGTACCAGGGATATGTTATGGGGTTGAGGACGTCGCAAGTGTTCAGCAAACAGAACACCAAACACCACGACACGGACCAAAGGTCTACACCGAGTGAAAACATCCAGACGTATTGAAGCTCAACTGAGCAGAAGCTGACAACCAAACCGAAAAATAGGGGGAAATTACCGGATGCACAGATCTATTGCTATTATAAATCTGGCGTAAATGTAAAGCAGAGTGCCCATGCTTAAACAGCTGCAATAAATGGAGAAAATTGCATTTGTAAATTTCCCCCTGGGTCTTTGATTTAAATGACTGAATTTATCGTTTTAAAAAAAAAAAAAAAAAAAGGGACAAATAAAAAAAAAAAAAAAAAAAAAAAGGATACATTTCTCTCCCCTGTTTGTAGAACCCCACAGTGTGCAGGGAGCAGAGTTTATCTGTCACTTCAGGGGAGCGGATCTGTGTGAGTGTTAAACAACTCTAGATGTGTCCAGCTGCTTTTGTCTCAATGGAGCAGCAGTTTTCATTTGAGTCTGACATTTAAGACCTGCTTGCTCCATCTGCATCCATCACCATTACGGCAGCTATACTTAGCACAGAGGGTGGAGAGTCAAAGCGAGGCAGCGAGGTTGGAAAAGGCCAAGAGAGGAAGGGGAGGGAAGGAAGGCGGTGAGAGTTTGGGGTTATTTCTCCTGCTGAGTGGTTTATATTATTACCTTTTGGAAGCATCTTCCATGAAAGACCTCCCCGTGTGTCTGTGTGTGTCTGCGTCAGCGGGTGTGTGAATGTGTGTTTCGGGGAGGGGGAGCCATTCGGTCTGCTGTAATTAAATGTCTGGTATTGCTGTGACCCCACTGAGCTTCAAACACAGCTAATGAAAGAATCTTTCGTTTCATCTGTCATGCTGTTCCACGCACACACACACGCACACACACACACACACACACACACGCACACACACACACACACACATAGAGGAACACGAGCAGCACAGTGTCACTCACTGCCACGCTCACACAGACGGAAACCAAGCCGTGTGTGGCAGCATGTTTGCAGCGATCATAACTAGTTTCCCATAAAGATGAAAGGACCTTTGCGGCATCAATCTTAGTAGCTCACAGGTGAACACACATGCTAACACACAGAAAGACTGCTAACATCAGAGTCGGCGTAAAGCACGGGCCGCTATGAGATTCTCCCAACGTGGTAAAAATGCCACGGAAATCAAACAAAATGTATAATGAGCTACTTGGTTTAATTTAAAACAGAGTAGCAACAAAAAAAATCCTACTGCTGCAAAAATCATACAACATACTGCAAAATGGAGGTCAAACACTTCAAAACAGTGTCACCTTCATATTTCAGTTGTTTACTTTGATGGGCTTAACCCAATGAAAAACATCCAAAATTCAGATTTTCTGATGATTTTAAAATTACACGAACCAACTGAATGTGATTTTAACACATAAATCTTATCTTACGACCTAATCAAGCAGAGGAAGGACTCATGACTTGATGTTTTTGCAACAGATAGTCAGGCGTCTATTAAGTCTAAAAGTCAGTGCAGAGATACACCAAGACATTCATGAACTGGTACGTGCACACACTGCCAAAAAGAACCACTTCCTGTTTTAATGACTGTATCACTCTATGCTTGGGTGTCCAGCACACATGCCTGACCTAAACTCCAAAAATAAAAGGAGGGTTGCTAAGCAGATGATGAACCAGGTTGATATTGCTACATTAAAAATCC